AAAAAAGTTTTAGCTCTGGTTTTTATTTTAGAATATTTAGCGCCGAAAGGAAATCGCAAAATAAAATAGAGCACGAGAGAATGACAACACGCGAAAGTATACATCTTCTTAGCTCTACAACGAGAATACCTACTTTTAACTGCGACAATTTATAAACTTTTCTAAAACAATTGATATAAATTCAAGATTTACATACATATACATAATTAATCGTATATACAGTATATAAATTAATCATTTAATAATTAGTAAATTATTTTTAACGGCAATTAAATAGACATGGCTCGGGAAAATATGTAATCAATAACCACTAATCATAATTGAATATGAAACCAAAATATATATTAATAGAGAAAATATATTTGATTAACAAATTTAATATAATTTTGGTATGTACAATTTATTTGCATATGTTGATAACTTAATATATCATCGTAATAGCCGTTAAAAAACTGTTTAAATTCCACTTGTGAACACATTTCATTTATTATGTGACGAATGTATTGCATTCGATTTAAAATATAGATTTATTGGCTCTTATTCTTCAGTTTTTACTGTTTCAAATCAGTCAATGGAGAAAAGTAATGTTACAGTCACAAATTATCACAATTTTACAGCACGTTAATCTTCTTTTTCTTACGATAATGACCGATATTTTTATTCTAGCAATCAAGATTTGAATCTTCCATTCTTGTAAGTAAATGAAAGATATTTTGAATCTACCTTTTTTTGATACTTTGTTCATTACTTTCAAAATCTAAAATATACACTAACTTTCGTGTTTATAAAAAAATGGCTTTTATTAAATAATAATTATTTCAACAAAGGAAATTTCATTTATACTTTTGATTAAAAAAGGCAATTGTTCGGATAAAGTTGATCGCTTTTTTATATCTTCTTATGCAATATGCCTATTTTGAACATTTGTTTGAAAATATCACGCTCCCTTTCATATTTTAGCATTTTCTGGGCTATAACGGGATAGCATCATTTTGTTTTGTTCACAAGAGGATAGGCGGTGTACAAAACGTTGGTGACACACGCGATCGCAGTTTGCCCACTTTGTCTCTTTTCCCAGTCTCAATATATTGTTTTTTTTTTTATATCTTCAAACGAACCGAGTTTTACGTCGCGCGCATAATTTAGGAACTTAAGAATACTGTCACTTCTTGTCGGTATACTTTAATCTCCGCCATCTTGTCGCTGTACGTCTCTTTGTGGTCATGAAAAAGTATTGCTAACGTTCTTTAAGAATTGACTCGTTTTACACGCATTATTATTAATTCTTCTCTTTCCTTGCGTGCACGTTCATCGAAAGAAACAAAATGACTGCCGTTCCACGTGACGCACGTATCCAATTTAATAAAATTATTTCTCTTTTTCTCTCTCTCTTTTTTTTGTTTACCCTGTTGTTTAATGCAATAATAATAACAGCACGCATATAATAATCGCGTATATAATCGTCGTTTATATAATTATAATTCATCGATCGACGCTCTTTCTTGCGAATTTAATTATAGTAATGATAATATGTAATAAGGAACCATTTATTCTGCGATATCAACGAAACGCGAATGTCCCAGTCGTATAAATTACGCGCATAATTTATTAGGGGCGATGTGGCCCTTGTCACCAGAAAGAAGGGAGGAATTTCTCGTAAATCCTCTGCCAATGCGATGAGACCTTTCGCACTCGTACATTATGTATTTTTAACGCACTGCCATTGTACTATAATAACGGCTGTATGAGATTTCTTTTTATGCGTGCAATTTTTGTTTTAAAAATAACAAAATTTAATACGTTTACAGATAACGTGGAAGAATCTATAATTTTCCATCAAGGTTCGTTCTTAGAATCCAGTGACATTTTGTCAGTTACCGTTATAAAATGATTTGTATTATTGCGATTTATATGTTACAAAATAATGCACGCATAATAAAAATTCAAATAGTTGTATCAACGTCGATTATCACATTAATCGAGATAAACATGAAATTTCCTCTCCTTGTCTATATTATGTAATTAGAAGTTTAATCTGGAAGATGATATTAAACCGATAACTCAGAGTTAATTGAACGAGACCGTTGATGCAACTTGCAATTAGCCTATGAATGTTAGTAATTAACTCGATGATGATAGCCATCCATTGAAATGGACCTTATCGTCCGGTTATTTAAAGAAATAACACTACATGTCGATCACTCTTAATCGTCCGGGAAGCTCTCATGTGACTTGAATAATCATTTCTATTCTCACGCTAATTGAAATTCCTCTCGTCTTTCCGCGCAATATCATAAGGTCACGACAAAGTTAACCTAAACTTCAATTACCAATAATCCATTAGAATCTATCCAATCTTCACTCATTCACTCACCAATTGGATTGCGTTATACAATATAAGTTAAGTGATATTATCTGAAAGAAGGAGGAGTGATCACAAGTTAGAATACGGGAAAACGACTTCAGAATGTAACATTTAGACTGAAGCATCATTTTATTTGTTTTATTTGTTTTCTGCATTATATATTAATTGTATAACGTAGTTCAATTGAGATTTGGATCTGAAAAAGAGCCTACCTCTCGTTTACGTCGAGTGGGGATCTTGGGACTCTCCTAATATCCGAAATATTATTGGAAGCGCGATGGGACGCAACATCCGATGTCCAGCCATATTTGCGATATATAGATTATAATATAATATTCACTCTCACGTTTATGTCTTTCCTCGCTAGCCCATTTTAGTCCCTATATCTAATCGCGGCCGCAATTAACGGTTACGCATTTTAATCCTAATGGGTAACTCTTTCGCACTCTCTCATGCACGCTCTTATCGTCTTTCTCCCTATTCCTTTCGCGCTCGGTCTTTCTCTCATATAACTTTAGGTTTTTATTTCTCTTTTTTTTTCCTTTCTCCTTCGATCGTCCTCCCGTTAAATTAGCGTTTGAAGCGCATTGTCGACCGATGCTTCGTATATCGCGGACGAAGATTACGCGATATTTTTCTATGTATATGTATATTTTATATACTACCCCTTTTCTCAACTCGATCCTTTACCGATCGTTTGATCTCCCGCTGTATGAATCTTAAGTTTGCACCTATACGTTGGTTATCACCGACGCTGGTTAACTAAATTTCTTTGCTCGTCGGTGTGTTGTAAGTGGAACTATAATCTAATGAAGAATCATATGAATCTCTAGACTCACACGCCAATCAGAGCTAGTTAAGCCAGACTATCGGTGTAACTCAGCCTTAGACGATTAGACGTCGGGGATGTGGAGGGTGTGTTACAGCTTTTGCGTGTACGCGTGTGCGTGAGTGTTTGTGTGACGCGTGTCGCGGTTATTTGCCGCTGAAAAAAAACTCGTATCTTCTTTCTCTTTGATCGCATCGGCTCGTCTATAGGGTCATGCATATACGGCATTATTTTAAATTAATTATATGGTAATTTGCGTATGATACGCGTAATATACGTGTATATATATATATATATATATATGTATATAACGAGGGTTACTGCACGTAATCGGTTTTAAAGCTATACAGCGGCCGATTAGAGTCATAACAGTCATTGTCCGGCGCTTTCGGAAGCTCCAAATGGAACTTTGAAGTGAACGTTCGGTATTAGTCAGAATTACAGAGTAGTATAAATCAACGTCATTTACACATCCTGATTTTTTTTCTATTTTAAATTACTGTCCAGTGACTTCGTCGTAATGTAGTTTAAGTATTTCTAATATAATAAAGGAATTGTAACTTTTCAAAACTACTTAAATTGTCATAAAACACAGTATTCTTTTGAAGTTTGTAGTATATCATAGTCATCACACAGTAATCATCAGAAAACACGGTCGCATCTCGGCATTAAAGAGTACTCAAATACTCATGACCGTGTATCTGTACGGCGAGTTGCGAGCATCCGAGATTATCGGATCTTAATAACAGCTGAATAAATAATAAAGTTTTGAGTAGGCTCATAACTTGAATAACTTGAGTTTAAATTATATTTCTATAAACGCGCGCGTACATCAAAAACATTTACGTTAACTATTGGAATATAAATAGCGGATTTCGCCGGTGAAATGTAGCTAGAGAACGTCCACTATTCTGTGATCCTAACAATATCATCCACTACTGTTCCTTCTTTCTGGAAGTCTTCCGATGTTGCGCATCTCATCGTTTGCCTCGTTGGCTCGAAATTCGACGGCAGCTCTCTCGCGCGTGTCTCTCTTCCATCTTCCCACAAATATAATGCTAACAGCGTGACATCAAGTATGTAACACGCCTATGTAACTCCCTCACTCGCCTGCCGCTACATCTTTCTGCATTATTTCGTTGCGCACCCGGGAAAGTAGTACTGCGACAGGGCAGGAGAGAAGCACCGTTCCGCCATTTAGCCAGCGAAAAGGCACGTTGGGAGAGAAGAAGGAGCTTGAATCTGCATGTACAGACGTAGAGAAAGGGCAGCAAAAAGGATCGCTTGATTTATCCGCTCTACTTTTTCATCTACTTTCATCCCTCTTCTCCTTTTCTCTCTTCTCCGCGTCATCGTACCTCTCTCGGCCGCCATTAAACTCTTCAACCCTTCCCGCGCATACGATTAAAACTTGAAAGCCCAGAAACAAAGTCTTTCCCAGGTGTGAACGCGCGTATGTGCCTATCATTATATATAATGTACGTGGGCACGCGTGGTGCACGGCGCTCGTTAATAATTGCAATCGCCAATAATCATGTAATAATTAATAATTATTATTAATATTCGTGAGAGTTGGTATCTCTTCTGTTTCTTTAACTGCCTTAAATACTAGAGGTCATACGTTACCGTCTATAATAATTATCAATTATTTATATATTTATATATATATATATATGTGTGTATATATATATATTTATATCTTTATATATATACTATTTATATATATATTCTAGTCTTAACCGCTTAAATATTTAGCAATTAATAATATTAATTTAATTTATTATTATTATATTATTATTTCTTTTATTAATGTCGGAGAACGGGCTGGCGTCAATACGCAGTTTCGGCCATAACTAGCCTATTGCAGCGCGCGTTGTTACCTCTTCCTGTTTCTGTCTGACGGTCGGTCTTCCTGTCGCTTTTCTCGTCTTTTTCCTCTGGCCTACTCTGGACGTCTTCCCCGTTGCGCGTCAGTTTTTTTCCCTTACTCATCAACAGGATTAATTTTCTTCTCTCTATCTATAGTTGCATCCAACTGGATTCGACTAATACTCTAAATTCTTTCTTAATGCATTATTGCATATTCGCGTAATATTACATCCGGTTATTTACAATCCGGATTTCGAAGTTGCATCGATTGGATCTTATTTAATAGTTGCCTTCTGTTCGACATTATCCGTTTTTTAATATATTGCAACTTTTGATCATTATTTATATCTTTATATCTATACAGTAGGCGTGTTATTTTTTCGTCCAGAGATCATCCACTGTTTAGCTGCCTCAAATCGTCCGTGTTGCTTATTATATCAGGCGACCGTGCTGCGTTCTGCCGTCTCGTCCATCCTGACGAAAAAGAATTAAAAGTTCAACAAGTTAAAATTTGCATTCAGAAAAAAGCGATCACCAGTTTAGACTCATACAATCCGACGTAAAATAAAGAGGGACCTAAAATTTCTTTCTAAAGATATATCTGAATTTTGTGAGTGTCTTTTTTTGGATGTGTAAAAATGAAGGATTGTCTTTTTTTATATACGAATCGTTAAAAAAATAGGATTTATTTTATCGTTCAGTGTCTTTTTTTTGTTATTGTTTCAAATAGAATTGTTTCCCATCAAGATAATATTATATCAAAAGTTTGTAAGATGGGAGGAAAAACTAAACTATTTAGCATGTTGTAAACAGTAATGTTAATAAACGTTCTTAATAAATTTACCTCGACATAAAACGTAAATACAACTCGACAAAATATTGTCGATAGCACACATACCTGTTATTAGGTCTTAACAAGGCTCAATGGTAGCCATTAGTGAACGCCGCTGGTATTAGAGGACCCTGGAACAATACAATATATCGGTCTCATCAACCTTCCCATAAAAATAATGATTATTACACAAGGGTGAGCATAAAGATAAACCTTTACGTTTGCCTGCATATCTAAAATTGCAGCGTGCAATTGCGGTACTTGGCCTTTGAGGTTGTAAAATCTTTTTTTCTTTTTTGCTGTTTCTCAAAATTCCATAATATATATAGATAATAATAAGTGACAAAAATGCAAAGGATAATACGCGAAGTGATGTTACATGGGTAGAGTCTTGGGTATATTAAATATATTGATATTGCAAAGAATGGATTAGATAAATATTAAATTTATTTTCGATACAAGCCAATGTAATAATTGTCATACTATACCTGACGGACCAGAGATGTATTCAGAAAATATAGAATCAGAATATAGAATGTATAAAGCGTATATAATATGTACATAGAAGCAATCTTCTTTTGTGAGATTGATAACCGGTTGCATTAAATATAATATATGTTCGCAAGAAGATATGGTATCTCCACATTTGCTTGTTATAAATGCATAAAGCTGATGAAATTGCAATATGGAACGAAGCGATAAAGAGCTTGGTCGAGGGTCAAATAATTCTTTAATTTTGCAATATTTTATTACATTAGTGTAAAATTCATTTCAATTTTTTGCATGCGATATGAATGTTTAAAGAAAAAAAATACGAATGTACATTTTTGCATCAAATTTATCTGGATAATTTGTTTGTTTTATCAGTCGCAAATATTTGTTGAGAAACGTTTAAATATCGAGAATATACTTGATCTTTTGTATTTATTATAATTAAAATGCGACGTAAAAACTTTCTTTAATTAGCTTTTTTTCATAATTGTTTCCAACTGTTACTTTCTCCGATATCTTTCGATATTTAACCTCGTATCTGTTAATTAAAATGTGAAATTTTATTTAGTTGATGAAATTCAATTAATGAAACTTGTGAGGGGAACAATTCACTTGTTGTGGATGCAACAAGAGCTGTCGTGCAGCTTACGATGTTAGCGATAGAACAATAAAAATTAAAAGTGAGTAAATCATGTACGATATAATATCAGAAATCATGTCAGATATAAAATACGGAAGTATGAGATTATCGAAAATTCGACTAGGCCTCTTTGATCCTTTCGTTCCATTTAATTATCGGGAGGGGCCCGATACGGTGAAGAAAGAGGGAGCATTAAGTGGACTTACGGGACTGTAGTTGAGCGGGGCGCGGGATACGGCGATCGCGGGGAACGCGGTCGTGGGGGGCTGCGGGCTAGCTGCGGCCTGGACGTAGCTTGCGACTGCGGAATCCGCGGCTGCGGCTGCTGC